TAACCAAACATGAAATAACCTTACCACTTCTTGTTGGCATGTTTAGATAGATATATAACCTTGTATAAGAAAGTAAAAGATGTACTTTATTTTGAAGAACATCTTGTACTACAAACCCTCATGTCCAAATGAATAAATTATGTGATACTGACAGATTTCATCATTTTCAAGCCTTATAAACCTGTATAAAACCTTACCTCAATATCTTACAGCTTCATCCAGCCTTTCCCCCAATATGTGTTTGACTTCTACTCAGTATATATACCTTCATAGAATACATAAAACTCTGTATTTGTGCTTTCCAACATGGTAGCTAATGGCTACATGTGGCTTTGAGTACTTGAAATGTGGACAGTGAGTATATAGACCAATGAAAATGAAAGTTACAGTTTCTTTTTTAAATTCTTTGGACCACTGTTCAAGCCAAAAAACAAATGAATAAACCCAGAGAGAGTATATAGTATCCAAGTAACAAGTTTGCATTTTTGAACTAAGGATACAAAAGATACCTAATTTCCTGTGACTCCTAATTAGAATCTCTGAAGAATAAGTGCCTGTGATCTACTAAAGATCCTGGTTATATCTAGTATCATTTGCTAATATAGTGAGTGCTTAAATTATGTTACAGAAATGTGGTATTTAAATTTCTTATTTTTCTGTCATAGGATTGAATTTACAGAAATATGCTATTTTCCTTTGTGGGACTGAATTTTCTTTCAGGATCTTTCTCTAATGTCAGGATTCCTAAATTTTGAGGTCCCATTACTTCTGCAATTTCCTAGTTTACTTTACTAAAACATTATGTATTAATTTCAAGTTTTAGCCTTGCTAAATATTTTCCCTTCATTGTATGTTTTTCATTGAATGAGGTAGCATTTTATTTATTTTCCATGTCCATGTCTTCTTATATTTTAATAGGAAGTTTAAATTTTTAAGGAAGTCTTTTGCTTTTAGCAAAGCACATTGTTGCAGATAATAATAGCTAGCATTTATTGAGTGTGTGTTCTGTGCTCTTTTCCAATGGATTGTATAATTTAACTAATTTAATCCTCAGAACAACCTTTTGAGATAGGTGCTTCTTATTGTGTACTTTTTATTGGTAGGTAAAATGATGAGAGGTTCAGTAATTTGCTAGATGTCATACAGCTATGTGGTGAGTCAGAATTCAAACCCTACAGTTTGTATTCAGAGCCCATGTACTATAGTTCTTCTGAAAGATCTAAATACACCAGTGTTCTACTTATAAGGTCTAAATTTTCTCTTGTACATACTCATATTAGGTGAGAACACTGCAATATGGTAGAAGTTTCTGATATCTTTTTCTTTTATGTTGGAGGAAAAGCCCATATTATGAATCTGTGTAAAAACTAACCTTCCCACTCCCCATATACAAAAAGGAAACAAGTCTGAAATATTTAATAAAGGAAAAAATAGTATTTGTACAAATATATAGATAATCTACATTTAACTTATTTAAGGAATTGGTAAGAGCTTTTAGGAGCCACTAACTGATATTGTTCTGGTTATGTTGAAACTAATGTTCATTTAGAAAAATCCTTAACCATTGAAAAAAAAGACATCTTTTGTTTAAAATGTGGGACTATTATAGTAATTCCATCATCACATCAGTAGCAAAAAGTATGTCATATTTTCATATTCTTACATAATATGGTAAAGGTACTATACCCCAAAAAAGCAATAAATGAAGGGGTTTTGTTCTTTTTATATTTATAAAATCAGATGCTACAGTATAAGTAATAACCTTTCTAAGGAAGAGCTTAAAGAAGTGGTGATCAATTGTATTAGCAAATATTAAAGCATATATTAATTGCCTCCTTTATGGTTGGTTTTAGATATGAATGCCCCTAAATAGCACCTGCACCTGAAAGAGCAAGAGATTCATTTATTTGAATGTATGTGCTTATAGTATTTCTATTCCCCTTTCTCTTCTCTACCCCTGAGCTCTCAGGTAGTTGGGATGTTGCTATTCAGAGTAACCCCAGTAGGATCCCTGGAGACAATTCTAGCTCAACCACTCTGAAGAAACAGCTCTGTAAACAGTATTGACCCCCCCAGGGGACCATCAAATCCATTTACACAGATACCAGTTGTCACAAACTATTTACAAAGCCAGACAGAACAGAATTTCCCAGCCTCTAAGAATCCCTATTTGATTCTAGCCACCTCCTCACTTCTGTATAGTAGTTGTGAAATAACAGTTATTTTTGGCCATGAGTCATGATTTCTTGGGTAGCATCAGTTTAACTGTATGCTATATGTTAACTGATGTGTAATTGTCTGAAGAACTGAACTCAAAAGGGATCCTAAAGCTTTCTTTCCTAGGATAAGAAATGGTATAATGCTTCTAATTTTCTAGGCTAAGGAATTGAGAATTAATAGCAATGTTAGGTAGCATTGAGATAGTTGGCAATACAGATACCTCCAGAAGTAAAGACAGAATATATTAGTTCATCACATCATTTTCAAATGGTCAGAGGTAAGTTTACATGGCAATGGTAGCATTAGATAGTAAAAGCAAAAATTGGGAAATATTTTTGGTTTGAAGTGGTCATATTCTTAGGTTCAAATAATACAGCATACCCACAAAGAACAAGTAAAGTAAATAAAGGGATTGATACTCATCATAAACAGTTTACTGTGTTTAACTCTGAGGTAAGTTAGACTTCACAGATGTGAATTATGAAGAAGAGATTGATAAATCATTCTCTAAATCCATATGGAGAAATGAATTTAAATAGTATTAATTCTGTTAGTCATAATGAAGGATCAGTTAACAACACTGATGAAACTGAAGCAAATTACTTAAGGTTATAGAGTTTTCATTTTAAACCATATGCAAGAGGTATCTATATAAGTTTTAGTTTTAAGCTTTCATCTGCCTAGGGATAAGAGTTTGAATCAGGAGTGAATACGTTTTTCTTTTTAACGTTTATCTTTCTAATTGGCTAGTGTGCAAAATAGACCTATAACTTTACTTTCTGTTGCATTTTTTGATTTAATGTTTATATTTCTATATGCAGTTCTTTTTGAAGTGATGGGGCTATACAGACAACTAAAGCTTTTAGTAGCTTCATCCACTAGCACTTTATAAAGATCCTTCTCCTGGGCTGGCAAATTGAGGTAAAATAACTGAAGACTGAAGTAGGGTCAGAACTATCATCTTTTCTTGGTTGGAGAAGATACTCAGAAATCGAATGTAAATTGGGCTTTGAATAAGAAAATTTGGGAAAATGCAATATGATAGGGCATTATTTTAAAATTTGACTTGAAATGTGAGAGTACATCATGCCTACAACTTATTCTCATATGTTTAAAAAAATTATAAACATGTAGGTAAATAGGTAGCTAAGTAGGCAGAAGATAGAAATAGCATGAATAATAAAGCAAATGTGGTAATATGTTAACATTTGGGTAATATGGGTGAAGGGTATATAGAAATTCTTTGTACTATTTTTGCAACTTCTTCATGACTGAAATTATTTCACAATAAAAGGGTAAGGAGAAATGACTGTTAATTACAATTAGTTCATGTCAGCTTTCTTGTCCCTTTTTAGCCTGTTTATGCAATCAGTGGAATCTTTTGCATTTGGCTATGATTTCTCCATTGTTTGCCATTTTTCTGGATGACTTGACTGTTTTCAAGGTGACATTTTCAATGCTTATTCTTTGATCTCCTTCTTTCCAAGTACCCTCACCATCAGTCTGTTTCATCAACCCATTCCCTTATGAACCACATGTTGGACTTTGTCTTTACATGTTGCTCATTTTAGAAATTTTCACTCCCTGACAATAACATCTTGTCATGTCAACAAAAATGTCTTTTCCTAAAGCTCTTCCTTCTCTGTGCCTATGCCTGTTATCTTGCCCTGAGGGTTTCATCCCTGGGCAAGTTCACTGTGGATTTGGTGAGACCAAGAAATGACAATGGAATGATCTTGGGGTAAAAGTTTATACCCAGCTTTATTCTCACAGCAGTAGGACGAGCACTAAAATCACGTCTGCATCCAAAAGTCTGCAGGTCTGCAATCCACCTCCATCTCTGCCTCTGCCCAGAGCCCAGGGTAGAGCTCTTCACGTAGTGACTCAGTCAATCACAGCTTATTGCCTACAGGTGTGGAAGCAGTAGCTGAGCAGTAGGTCAATTACATCATCGAGTAGTTTAGGGTCAGTTGAGGATCTTTGCCATAGGAACTTCCATTTTCCCATGTCTGTTCTTTCTGTTCTTATTCTTAGTTTGTCAGCTTTTTCTTTATTTCACCTAACTCAAACCCTTTTGTAGTTCATTGCTTTGCATATTACTACTTGTCCTATTTTTTTTTAACAAATGCCTTTGTGAAATCTTCCCCAGAGTCTTCCAGTTGGGCAACGGTATGTGTAGCAAATTTTGTATTTGGTCTCTGTAACCCTACCATAGTCCTTACATTGTATACACATCACTGAGTCAGTTTGCCTTCCTCACTGTACTGTAGAATCCTTGCAAGGAGAGTATGTTTCTTACTTGTCTTTGTTTTTCCAGTATTTATCACAAGACACACCACAATGTAGGTTTTCCATAAATTACTAAATTAATGAATAAATTAATTATAGGAGTCAAACTTTCTATACAAATGAATAGAAATTGAATTCTAATATAAGATAATGCCTCATGGCAGAGTAGAAGAGCAAAGAGAGATTCACAGGATTTAAGAAATATTTGCTAAAATAGTTGGTCACTATAAAGGTAGACAGGAAGGAAAATTTTATGTCAGCCTCATTTACTCTAAAGTACAAATTCTCAGTAGAAGAGTATGGATAGCTTGATTTGAAGAGCAGGCTCCAAATGTTCAGAAACAAAATTTTAAGTGCAGAGCAAAATTAAAAACACCCAGAATTAATCAGAACCAAATCACCCAGTACAAAGTTCTTCAAAAATATTAAGCATTTAGAATTAAAATCAAGTGTGTTAGGACTTGTTGAGTTTATTTTCATAATACTCTTAGGTTGGGATACAATCCAGGTGGGACCAGCAGAGTTCTTTTCTTGGGAAGCTCCTGCATCTGCTGTGAGTTTGGAGAAGAGACCATAGTCACAGGTGAAAAGACAGTGATTTACCCAGCATTCAACAGATTACACAACTTGACATTAGGTAAGCTGAAGTAGGAAAGAGAGCTGTCATTCTAGTAAACAAATAACAAGTATAGGTATCAGGGACCGTGTAAAGTGAACAGTCGGAAGTTAGGAATAAAAACCTGAATGAAGAAAGATGCTGAACTAGATTCAGAAACACAGGTAAAAACACAGGGCAAGTTGTAGATGATTTTAAGTCTGGAACTGGGAGCTTTTCATAGGTGGCAGTTCTCCATGGCTCATCCTTTTACTTTTCAAAGAATCTGTACCTCGTACACTGGAGAATAGTATAGGTCCTAACAGTTCTTTCTGATATGTCCATGAGGATAATTTTTGTTATTTTGATACTGCTTTTATTAACTATTTATAATTTTATTTCATTTGAATCACTTTCATGTTATTTTTAGTTAGTATTTCTAACATGAAGCTTTATATTTTTGTTAATGATACAGCAGTATTCCTTAGCATCCATTTATACAGTTCTCTTATTCAGATGTTGGTTGTTTCATTCTACTAGTATTGGCCTATTCTAGAAAGGTAGCAAGATGAACGTCTAAAGCAAACCAAGTAAGCATTTTGAAATGTGAGGAACCAACAAATAATCTCCAGATACCTAAAATTGTTAAGGTTTAAATCAAAACAGAATATAATACTGAAATTTCATAGATACCTTACAACATGTAATTATGATAGCAATTTTCCCATTTCATTTTCTCAACAGTGAAATCAAGAGTTATTTACTAAAAACAAATGGTTTCTGATTTAGCTTCAGCCACCATAAAGATAATATCCAGGACTTAAAGTTTATAACTGGGTATACCTAATTTTAGCATCTAAATGAAGAATTTCTCCTTAAAGAATTAATACTTTGTGAGAGCTACATTATTTATAAGTGCTCCTGTTTTATTTTTATTCCAAAACTACTCTTCTTCCTCATAAGGATTTTAAGTTTGGCAGGTTGAAGAGGGCATCATCAATGAACAGGTGAGACTCACCTGCTTTTCAAAAATTATTTCTGCTGGAAATAATAAAGTAATGGTCATGACCAGTATCTGTGCTTGTTGATATAATATACTGGTGAAAGTGCTTTGTGCATTTGTGTGTGTATCGTTTTCTCTCCAAAATTTCATTGTAGCATCAGATAATATACTATTCTTTTGAAATAGCTATTATCCACTGTTTATAGCTTATAGTAATTTTTATAACATAGCCAGGCTTTATAAAAAAATTCTATAATGCATAACACACCAGATAAAACAGAGGTTGAAAGTAATTCTCCTTATATTATATCCATTCTAATATTAAAATGATGATTACAGAAATAATAGCTAACATTTATTGAAGTACCTTACACTAGGCCATATACTTTGCATGTATTAACTGAGTTAATCCTCTCAAAAGCTCAAACAAATGCTATGACATTCCCATTTTACAAACAAGAAACTGAGGCATGGATTGGTTAAGTAACTTTTCCAAAGTTATGCACTTGGCAAAGCTGGAATTCTAACCCAGGCAATCTGATACCAGAGTTCATGCACAGTACCACTTCACTATAATCATTAACTCATTGCATCCTGTTTTTTGAAATCTAGAAAACCATACCTCTAAATCAATGTTTCTCAGCTTTAGTTGTATGCTGGAGTCATCTGATCACTCCGAGAGATTTTGATTTAATTAATATAAGATGTGGTCTGGGCTTTGGATTTCTAGAAACTGCTCAGGTTATTCCAACATGTAGTGAAGGTTGTAAACTACTGTCCTAAACACCCACTGACTGTTGAAACGGAACTATCAATGGCAAAACCATGATGTACAATGCTAACCTGATTACAGTAGGAGTGAGACTAGTAAGTACATGCTTAAAGCTATGATAACACTTCCACAAAAGTTCATTTGAATTATTAATATTTAGCTGTGGTGTTTCATTATACCATGTGTTTTTGTTTTGTTTCAAATACAGATACAGTCCATGGTTATCTTAAACAAGAGACTACAGAGAGAAATAAAAGTATATAGCCAGATGAGCAACCGACTATGAATTCTAAGGGAAGCATGCATCAGAAATCCAATGAATTAGTTAATGAAGCCACATATGAGAACACAGAATTGCCAGGGCAGAGACCAAGGAGTTTTCCTTATCCAGGTGATAAGACAGCTTACTGCACTACTGAAAAATCCAAGTGAGTGCTAGCAGCCTTAGGTTTAGAAAGGAGTGGGAGAACTCTATTCTTTCCTCCTTCCCTACCTCTCTTCATTCCTCCCTCCCTTCTCTTTGCTGTGGGCTAAATTTGATGTATCATTTACTTATTAGAATTCGAGTAATCTGCCAGTTTTCTACTGTTTCTGTTACATTGAATGTGTTCAGACCACTAAATGAAAAAACAAGGTGAGTCAGAATGAAGGCCATGAGGTTTTATTTCTTCTTGTTGAATATTACTTTCTGTGACCTTTCATTATGAATCTGGAAACAACTGTTAAGTTGATATAAATGGGAAATTATTCATCAGAGGCAAGAACTGGCAGATCCAGGACCAAGTAAGCCAAAAGATGTATTTTGGCTTTGCTTAGCATAATCTTTCACTTAGATGAATTTGAATGCTTTAAGAAGGGTCTTGTACTCTCCCATTTGCCTTTCTTACTATTTTACATTCTGCAGCTTTTACCCTTTCACTTTACCTATCTATCTCCTGAAGGAATTTAAGTTTGTGACACCTGTAACTTTTACGAATGAAACTACTTTGATAATTTTCATGTGTTCTGAAAGCACTGTGAAATTACAAAATTTCAGTGACAAATTATATTTCAGTCCAGACAAAATATTTTTATAGAGCATGTTTTAACAGTTTTGCAGAGGAACAACTGTTTCTGCTTACTTAAAATTTTTTCAATAAATATATTAATGATTATTAATATATAATGAGGTAGATACATGAATATGTTCCTACCTCTTGGCAATCAGCTATGTTCTTACTAAAATACAGATTAGAGTACATGTTTGCAGGGTAGGGATAGGGATAGGGATGAATGAAGAGTTGGCAAACATAACACATGAAAAAAGCAGATTGAGCTGTAGCCAGGGTTTGAGGTGTCTAGTATAATTGCTCAGAAAATACACATAGTAGGGAGGGCTGCACTGACTGTCCTGAACCTCACTGCTTCAATTCTTCTTAAGACTCTACATGTATCTATACTTACAAATTAAGTACATCTTCAAAAAAGAGCCCATCTCTTTTCCCTTCCCTTCCTTTATATTACTTGCTGACAAGTCAGTACTGTTCTCAAATAGTGTACAAGATGCCAAAACGTTTTTGTCACCTTTAAATGTGGCAGGAACAAGTTTATGTTTTTAATGTTTTGAACTTAATAATGGAAATATGATATTCTGTCAGCCTGAAAAATGTATCTAGTGTCCTGACCAGAAGTACAAATTGAATTAATATTCATAGCTCTTAAAACTTCTTTAAGTATTCTGAACTGTCAGTCCATGTACATGTTACTAAATGATTTCTACAAATTTAGCTCTTGCAGTTGATAGATAAGCACTTTTGTATAATCGATATATTCCTTTTTATCCATAGTGTTTTTCTTAACAGGGCATATGAGCAATTTTAAATTAATTAACTTTACATATTTATTGTTAAAATTAAATTTGTCTTCCCCAGTTGAAGTGTAAACTTTTATAGATCTTGTATAGTAGAAATCGTGTGTATTTTGTTTGTTTTATTATAGCTTTATGGAACATAGGAATAATGATTTGCATTGTGAATGTATGATTCCTTCTCAAGTTACTTCAGATTTAAATAAAGAGAAGACAATAGCATTTCTTCTTAAAGAATTGGACATTCTCAGAATAAGCAATAAAAAGGTACAGTATAGAAACTGATAATTGTGCAGTATGCTTTTTACCTTCTAAATCCGCTGTGTCGCCCATCATAATTCAATCACATTGTGCACTTTAGTCCTCAGACAGTGACTTTGTTGCTACCATGCCATGCCATCAGGGCCAGTTGAGTTGAGATTGGCTATGAAAAGCAATTTCTTGGGTTTCCTGCCCTGTTGGCCTGTGATATCACTTCCTTTTTTATAAATTTATAGTACCTTGAATAGGTGTCTGAAAAAAGATTCGTTCAAGTTTTACCTGAGTGTTATGGAAAATGAGAAATAACAATGCACTAGTTTCATGTTACTTTGTTAACTTTTCCTTTTTTATTAGTATCTGTGCCCTTTATTTCACTTCAGTAGTATATGTAATTAAACTTTAAAGTAGCAAGGCTTGGCAATATTGTCATTTACCTTGTGTTATTTTATACTGCTGCATTTTGTCCAATCCACTTTGTCATGTCATGTTTTATCTTTTCTGACTCTTTTTCTAGTTACAGTTCTTTGAACATCAAATAATGTTATTAAATAATGTTCACTTTCTATGCCTTCTGTTTTTTTTTTTTAGCCGCTATGTATTTTTCTGATTTTAATATTCTTGTTGTTTGACCTAATCAAACTGAAGCATGATGTTAAGAATGTTGATCATGTCTGCGGAAAATAACACGAATGACAAAAGCTAAGGGAGAAATTAAAAAAGAAAAAAAAAACATTTGGAGGGATTCCACATGAGAGCCAGAGATATTCTGTACTTTCATTAGCAGTTATTTATTACATGCCAATTATGAATCAGGTGCCAGTACCAGTTTAAATGGGATATGATGGAATAGCATTCTCAAAGGGAGATTTGTTTCAGATATTAAGATTATTATCTTAATTAATTTTGTTTCAAAACATTAGAATTACTAAGAGAAGCTGTAAAGCTGTGCTGTCCATTGTTTTACTAGGATAGTCCCTTCCAAGTCTTTTGCTTTAAGACAAAGAACAGATCAGATTGCTTTTTTACAGCAGTTATTTTTAATAATTATGTTGTTCCCTCTTTAATTTCATTTGCCTAATCACATACGTAAATTAAGTGTATATCAGTGTTTTGTAATTTCTATCTCATTATAGGCAATTATTACATTATAAAATATCTTAAAACCTTACTGTTTTTTTCCCCTGTGGTTATGTATTTAGGCATTTAAAGGTAATACTACATAAGAGTGAGGTTTTTTTGGGATTACTTATATTTGCAAGAAATTTGTCAGATAAGAAAGAATCTGTGAGTTTTTTTCTATGTGTTTTAGCTTCAAGAAAAACTGACTAAAGAAGATAAAGAACAGAGAAAACTAAAGCTTAAGCTGGAACTCCAAGAGAAAGCAATAGAAGCCCAAATTGCTGAAAAGACATCAGGTATAGTACGTGAGTATGAACATAGGGCCCTAAGAATCACACACAAGGTTATTATATGATGTGGCTTGGTGAATACTTGCATACTAGCTTATTTGCCAAAGGAGGGGAAGCTCTGTGTTTTTTTTTTTTTTTGTGGGCTGCTTAGAAAATAGGTGGCTTTAACATCCTGGTACTGGTATTAGTGAGAGCTTTACCTGTATTCATACTGATTTGGGCATTAAATGCATTGTTAACACCATGTCAATCCAATCACAAAAAGGTTGTTTGTTTTGTTGGAAGGGCCTGAACAAACAAGGGGAAATAATGATTACCAGTGCCTCTACCTTTCAACCAGCAGTTCAAATACCACTTATTGTTTTAGCTTGTTGAGAGGAAATACTTCTCCTTTGTATGAAGATAGTCATATATTTTATTGCTAGTAGAAACCTACATTTGATCAAAAAATCTGTTTTGTGCAATTAATAAATTTTCATCTGATGATGTGGATGATAATGGAGATAATGTTTTCTCTGAGAAGATTAAAATGAAAGGTTGTCAAAGTTCAAGATTATAATTGACCGCCTTAAATATGCTTTGGAGTCTATCTTTACTCATAGGTCTTTGCAACGAGAGATTTTTTAATGTCTGTGATATGTAACAGATATGATTAGATGATTCTCAGTAGTCTATGACTCTCTTCTTCACACTGTTTTAGTGTGTTAAGGAAAGAGAATTTCATAGAATAATATAAGTTAACTTTCAGAGGTATTTTAGAGATCACTTATTTTAACATTTTATATCAATTGGAATGATTTTAAGACATAATTGTATAAATTGTGATTATAAGTTTGAACTATAATCATACTTTATTAACCACTTGACCTAGTTGCATATATAAAAGATTTGGTGTATTTTAGATCAGAGATTAGAAAATATAGCCCATCTTCACAATATTACTGTGCAAAGTAGAACTGAACATCACTGTGAAAGTATGGCCAGAATGACCATAAATAAATACTCCAGCTAAGTACCAGATGACTGCTTTTCTGTTAATGTTAAACCAGGATGATTTTTTTTTCTTTTTAGTGGGGAAATATAAGAGTAATATATTTTAAGGAAAATCATCAATTTTAAAAGTTATTAATTAAATTATAAGTTTAGAATAATTTGGAAGTTTCTTGGCTTTTTATAACTAAATGTATATACTAACTGCTAGGAAGGAATTACAGGACATACATTTGTTTTAAGGTATTTGCATCATAATTTAACTTTGCATGTGTCTTACAGATGTAACTTAATAAGATATAGTCCCTTGTGACTTACTGAAAATCATGAATTTGTGTGCTTGCTTAGCTCATTTATCTCTTGGAAGGGAAAACTCATTAAGCAATATTATCTACTTTTTAAACTTTTGTATAATATAGCTAATCATATACTTCAAATATTTATTAGTATATATTTAAGGGTTCCCTTTGACTTAACAGTATGAATCATGTATGCGTAAAATGGAATGAATTTGATTGCTTTATGATTCTTGTTAATCAAATATTTCTAATTAATGACAAAACATTTTAAATGTTAAATGCTTTAAAGATGTTTGAAAAATGGTAGTATGTTTTTATAGCCTTCTAAATTAATGAAAATAACAGTGCTACATATTTCTCTGGAACAAAGCAACCTATTTAAAAGAGATGCATCCAACCACCTAGGTAAAAATGACAAAAAATGAAAATCCCCTAAAGTTTTTTGAAAGTATACATTTTCAGAAAGTCTTCACTTTTTAATGTATCAGTTCTATCTTATTAAAAAATATTGAAGATATTTTACATGTGACATTAGAGGGAATTATTGCAATATGTAAAAACAAACTGAATTGTTTTAAGAAATCCATTGGTTTAAAACTGCAAGAAATTCTTTAACTGTTGCTATATGATTTTTTAATATTTTTCTCACTGTATATACAGTCTTTAGTTTACCTCCCACCTGACCAGTAGTGAATTCAGTCTAAAACCAAAATACACTAACAAAACAACTATGTCAGTACCTTAATAGAAAGAGGAACATTATAGAAGTATGATTACATGTGATAAATGTTTTATTATCATATGAAAGAACAAATAGTACACATAAGCATGGATATTTGTTTCTATCACTGTTCATTTTTATATTAAAAACAAAAAGTATATTTGATGAAGTATATTCATAACATACACACATATTTAAGTGTTATAAGCCAAATATAAAAGCCTAAAAAGCCAAGATAGTCCACATTTTTAAAATTACATGAAAAAACATCACTAAACATTGGAAATTGTAAATAGAATACAAAAAGTTAGGTCTGTAGATTTTTCAAATAAAGAGTTAATTGAAATATGGGTACTCTAAGGAAATAGCCATTTCTTTCCAACATATAAGATATAAAGATTACATATAAGGATATTCATATCAGTATTACTTATGAAAGCAAGAGAATTAAAATCAAATAATAAGGGAATGGTTGCATAAATCAAGGTATATTTATGCTGTCAGACTGTGCAATAATTAAAAAACATTTCTGAAGAGCATTTCATTTGAGAAAATCTTGACTGAAAGGAAAGAAGAAGGAAAAATGAGAGGCACATTTTGGTAGTATTCATAGATGTACTAATGTTCCAATTAATAGTTTTCTGCCTTTTCATATTTTCTGAAATGAGTAGGGATTAGATTTAGTATTAGAAGAAGTAAATGTTAACTTTAAAGGATGTGATTTTTCAAAAGTTACTTGCTTCCTAATCTTATTAAAGTAATTCCTGTAATAGGTTTGACACTTAAAGACTACATAAACCAAAATTTTATGAAATTCATGATGGCTGTGAACAAATCTTGCCATTTTACCTATGCCATTTTTCTTGTCTTTCAGATTCCCTCTTTATTTACTTTTCTGTCTTTATGTGTGTTACATAACTTATATGTATATTAGTCCATCCTGTCTTCCCAGTTGATCATATAATTTATAAGAATAAGAATCTGGTGTAGTCAAAACCACATAAAACAGAAGGTACCGAGTTCTCTGAGGGCAGATTGAAGTAATGGGAAGACTAAGCCTTGGAATTAGATTGACTCAAGTTCAAATCACAGTTTTGATATTTAATACCTACTGTGTGCCTGTGGGCAAGGCCCTTATTAGTCTCTCCAAGTTAACTTTCTCTTATGTAAGATGAGAGTGTTCACTAATTTACCAGATTATTTTAAGGATCTGAGATAATGTATAAAAGCACCTAGGATATAACCGGTACTCAGTAAATTGTAGCAAATACTAATATTTGATTATTTATATCTTTATAAATTTTTAAGCCTGTAATTATGTAAGAAGTCATGAAATGATGTTTTGTCATATTTAGCTTTTAATTAAAGTTAATTTCACTCAAAGGTATTAAAAGAGAAACAGAAAAGTGAAAGAAACACATTAGGAAAGTAAAGATTGGGCGATGAGGATACTGTTAAGATAGCTGTATTTTTTACTACTAATACATTTTACTTAAATGTAAATCCAAAATAAAAAAAATACAAAGGATGTGGGCTTGCTGATAATAAACCTTTATGTGTACTGCTAGTAGTGTCAGGACTATTGCTTTTGCTTCCCTGTTGGTCTTTACGTAATTTAAATATTGTCATTCTAATGTGATCTCATGCGAGTGTGAGACTCAGTAGTATCCTCTGTAATAATAAAATCTCAAATCATTGACACTTTTATCTTCTGACATCACCATCACCATCAATGCTGTTTTTATTAGACACTTTATAGGAACTATACTAACTTCTATAAAACTCAAACAGAAATAGTTATTGAGGGACCATGATGTAATAGACACTGTGTTTAGGCACTGAATGTCCATCAGCAGATAAGACAGGTTTGGGATTTCAAACATTTCTATTTGCCTTCAGTCACTTCTCACTCATTATACACTATTGTAGTAGGTAGTGGTTAAATGCTCAGACTTTAGATTCAGACCTTTTTCTAATCTTTATATCACGTATCGTATGTAAGTGACAGCCTCACAAAGCTTTGGTTAAAATGTACTTTATAAATTGCGTTTAAGTGAGAGAATGTTTATGAAGAAGGCAGTAATAAATAAGATGATGGTGTCACCATCTTGTTTTTTTCAAGACTTCTTGACCTAAAAAGTACACATATTCAAAGGGTACCTGATACAAATAACTATCATAAAAGGTGCACACATTCAAAGTGTACCTGATACAAATAACTATCCTGCAGCTATTTCTATAGGGTTTTGTTTCACAGAGAAATGATATGAATTTCAATTCACAAAGAATTAATATGTATTCCTTGATTTTCAGATTTAACCTTATTTAGAAAGTTTAAAATTATTTATCAAATTTCTACAAAAAAAATAATGGAAAAATTTATGATTAAGTAGGTCCTGTTTACTTAGCAATAGCTGAAATGATCGGCTCATTCCCTTTGCATTAACATTGGGACACATTTATCTCATAGTAGCTGTATAGGACTTTTCACAGTGTTTTAGCTTACTAAATTATACACAAGTTAGGGGGCATTTCTGACCTTGAGATACTAGGGGATATTTTAGAGATGCACAGCAGAACCATTGACTGTGTCCTTTAAGTAAGTATCTCTTCTCATTAAAATAAAGTGATTAAACCACAAACACTTGAAGATTTGTTTTATTTAAATTGAGTTTCACAGTGAAAGATAGTATTATATAGCTTGATTTGTATCCATTAATTTCCTCTTAGGTCAGTGGTGTATTCTTAACATTTAAACATAACTTGCTCAGTTGAACCTTTCATTTTTCCTAAGCAGTCTCAGTGAGCATTGTCTAGTGTTTAATGTCTCTTAATTTTTATTACACTATTACATTACAGTATGTAGATGATGTTTAAATTTTACACAAGAGTATTTAGTTTTTTATGTTATTTTTGACATTTAAAATATTTATATTTCTTTAAAAGCCTTATTTTTCTATTTCTTAAACATTCACTTGAGAGTCTCTGCTTTATATGTTAGTTAT